GTTCGCGGGGTCTCCCCCCGTCAGCGGTGTTCGCGCTCAGCCACGGCCCCGCCATTAGTAGTGTCTCCCCTTAGCAGCCGTGGCCGTCCCGTCAGCAGCGCCCCCCTGACAGCCCGTGTCCCCGTCAGCAGCCGCGCTCCCTCATGCCAGCAGCGCCCCCCGTTAGCAGCGCTGCCCCATCAGCCGCGGTGTCCCCCATGAGCCACGGTCCCTCGGGGCCCGTCCCTGCCCCTCCGCCAGGCGCCGGGGGACAGCTGAGGGCACCCCCCATGAGATCCTCCCTCAGCACCCCCAAAACAGGCCCAGAGGCACTCGCCCCCTGCAGAAAACAACCTTCCTTTTGACTCACAACACTCCGCTTCCCACCACTGGCTGCTGGATGAGCACAGAGCCACGTCAGTTCACTGATCGCCTTTCCCCTGCAAAAAATTTTACAGATCTTGTGTAGTTAGTGAGAAATTAAACAATGTTTTTCACCAAGAAGACAGTCAAATGCTGGAACGGGGACCCTTGAAGACAGTCAAACCTCAGCCAGACAAGTCCCCGAGGAACCAGCCCTGTTGGAGCAGGAGGCTGGACCTGGGCTCTCCCAAGCAACCAATGTGATACTGTAAGTCTCTGGCCTTAGAGGCAGGAGCTGCCTATGGCGGCACCTCCCGCAGCAGACCCACTGTCAGCTCAATCCTTAACATTTCCTGCGGTGAGCCAGGCTGCCCCGATGGCGCTGCCTAGGTAGGCTGATGAAACCTTGAACGTCCCTTCTGCATTGGGGAATATTGGCCCTTTGAGCAAAGCACTGCTGTGCCCAGGGAGCCACTTGCTCTGGAGCCACAGGCAATTTTTGTGGCGTTTGGGCTGGAGCCAGGGAGCACTCAGAAGATAAAAGTCCATAACCTTGAACTTGGCATAGCATTTCTCAGGCTGGAGACCAGTGGTCTGCTGTAACTGAGCAGGTACAGCCTACTCTAGGATCCTGGTGTTTTCCATGGTTTGATGCACTCTCTGGGAGTATTACCTTGCTGGATGCTGCAGGAGGTGCAAACCCGTGGACTGGTGAGCGTCATCTGCCACTCCATGCAATGTTCTCATCACTAAAGAGGCCAGAAATAGTTCTTCTACAGGCAAAAGTAGCTGGTGCTGGTGTGTATTTTCTGTTAAGGATGCTCCCCAGTTTGAAGAGCACATCCATGCTGCAGCTCCCTGCTCTGGTGTTAGACTGCTCACTGCCCACACTGCTTGAGGGCAAAGTTTCTTCTGTGAATCCATTTGGGAGGACATAGCTCGTTTCCTCCAAGATGAAACCCAGGAGTAGTTCATATGATACCTCCCTCCATGGACTGTATCCTGCAGGCAGCATCACTCCAGAGATGCTCTCTACACCTCTCCAACATGACTTCAGCAGGCTTTACACCCCAAATCGGTCAGCCAGCCTCATATCACACTGTAGCACATGTAACAAAGCTTCCTTAGCCATATGGTATAAAAATCCCCATCCTGGAAAGCTGCAGCATGGCCTCATATTATTCATTTTTTTGTTATTAACAAAAAAAGTCACAAGAAGGAATAGTTAGATCTTAGGGTATAGGGAGCAAACCACATGGATGAAGGTGAAGTCTCCAGCAGAAGTTGATATCCATCCAGAAGCCAAATTTTAGCGCATTCCCTGTTGGAGCTTTAGCCTGGGACCGCCAGTCTCCAAGCCCAGGCTTGCTCCATGGACAGACATAGTACAGATTACAGCCAAACCCTGCAAGGTATTTCCATCCACCAGCCAGCACTATCGTTACCTTCAGGTTCCCTATTACATAAAGAGGTTATTGAAGAAAATGTCAGTTTGGCCATGCAGCCTAGGCTCTCTGGCATGGATAATTTTGAAGCTCCCCAGGAGCTATGGGAGTTGCATTCCTCCATCACTCCCCCTGGAGTCATGGTCCAGGCACAGCCCCATGAGTTCTGGGGTACATGTGGCTCATCATTTAACAACCCTAACTGGAAGTCACACTGAGCATCTTTTGAGAAGCAGGAGAAACCCAGCACTTCTAAAAAGTCCTTCAGAATCCACCTCACACTGAAATTTTTCTATTACAAGTTACCAACCCTTAGTTTTAGTCTCCTTTATCTTGAGGATTTTGCATTTACCAGTGGCACTTAGCAGCCTGCTAACAAACCTGTCCCACTACATGCCAGGCAGGAGCCTGTAGTTCACCCCAGTGCTGGGAAAAAGCTTCATCACTCTCCCTGTCACAGGACAGGTGCCCCAGAGCCAACAAAGGGGGGGTTGCAGGTCTGGGAGGCACCCTCTGGTTTCCTTCTTATTGGCCTTTTGCTTTCAGTGATTTGTCCAGCTGAAATTCTCCACCAGGCTCAGTGACAACATGATTTCTCTCCAGCAACTGTTGCCTGCTGTAGGCAGGATGTACTGAGCCATGGGGACAGAGCAGCACCATGTCCTACCAGCCTGTCAGCTGTCTTCCATCCAACATTGCCCAGTGTGGGCTGCCACAGGCAGGGAATTCTGTTGTGCTCCAGCTGTCCACAGCTGTGTCCCAGGAAGCTGCCTGATGGGGAGCAGCTGCATCATCTCTCACAACACACCTGCAAAGAGGAAAACTCAGAATAGCTGTCTGGATGCTTTTTCCCATGCTCTCTCCTCTTGCAGGAGTCTGATAACCCTCCAAGAACCTGTGTACAGGGCTGTGAACTGCATAGTTGGTACCACCAGTCAGGCCCCCCATGGCACAAACACAGCCCTTTCAGTGGTCCATAGCTGAAATATAGACATGTCCAGGCCTCTCTTCAGTGATTTTATAGGCTCTAGGGAAAGGGCTTCTGCTGCGTGACTATGCTTTACTACTCCAGCTCCCTCTACTCCAGGGCAGCTTGCATCCAGCTGGGCTCCTGCTCTGGGAGCTGGTGTGTGGTGCTCCCAGCTCTGCTGACTCACCAGGCAGCCCTGGAAAATCAGCTGCATTTTGGGACCTTAATTTTCTCTTCCTGTAGAGGAATAAAAGTATGTAAAGGGTACACGTTAATGCATATTAAAGTCTCTTGCAGAAACTCAGAGGGTCAAAGAAAAGATACTGGCTAGGATATGTGGTGCCTTGCTCACACTGTCTGCTTGGAGTACTCTGGAAACAGCTTTTCTAGTGCAGCAGCAGCTCAGTGGCTGTGGTGGGACTCTTCACTGCACCTTCCTTGACATGAAGGACTTCTGTCCTGGAGATGCTGGGAGTGGGGAAAAGAAGCTGGAAAATTAGAAATAGTCCTTGCATCTTGGGCCTTCTGTACAGCAGGCTGAACAGGAGGCAGGCTTGCATGGGAAACTTGTGTTAATTTGGGCCAAGCACTGCTCCAATAGAGCCCCTGACTTATCTTGGGGGCTCCAGCTGAGGCCACGGAGCATTCCCTTCTGACTGGCCTTATTGCCAAAATATGTGCATGAATCACATCCCTCTTCATGCAAATAACTGAGCATATCAGATTTGTGGTAACTTGAAACAAGCAGACCTCTCCTCTCTCCACCTGCCCCACCTCACCCTGCTCACTTGATCCAAACTCCCTTCCACTCTAAAAGCCACATGAGTTAGGAGTGGTGAAAACCTCCATGCCCCACTGGGTGCATGCTGCCAGTGCACCTCAAAGGGTCTCCACGCTTCTCACCATCTCTGCCACCACAGGGAGCCTACTGAGACATGTCCCAGGCGTGCTGTGGCACAGCCCTGCCATGGGAGAACCGCTCGTGGGCTATGCTGCTGGCACCCCCCTTCTCCCACATGTGATGGTATCGTGTGGACTCAAGCAGTTCAGAACCCCAGAGCAGCGTCCTGGGAACAGTGAGGCCACAGTGAGCCAGAGAAAATGGGGTGAGAGGATGTGACCCGGCTGTGGATCTTCCCGCTGGGGTTTTTTATGCTAATTTTCAGCACATGGCCGGGCTGGGCAGCCCTTCACTTGTGCTGAACGAATCAGCACATAGAGGCAATGGGGTTAAACATCGGATTGCACATCTCCCCACTGATGACACTCCTCCTCTGCATTGGCTGCAGAGATAATTTTAATCAGCAACGTGATAACAGCTTTTCAGTCCTGCAGGGAGTTATCAGCTCCTTTGTTTGCAAATGTAACTGCTCAATAGCAATACAGCTCTGGGTTTGGCACATGCCAGCTCCACAGCCCTTTGGCTCAAGCAGCCTCCCTCCCCTCCAGCAGCCTGCTCCCAGCTATCAGGGTATCGGGGTGTTAAAACGGACCGTGTTGTGCTGAACACAAGGATCAAGCCCGAGCTGTTTCCTTCCTGCCTCTGCTGTCACTGGGAGAGATACCTCTGAATTTCAGGCTGTTTTAAGCTTCAAAGAGTAGCTGATGAATATCAGAGTCTGGTAATTTAGCCCTCCACAGAGTACAGACAACATATTCATAATCATTTTACATGTAGATGAGCTAGTAACACAATCAGGGTTATAAATCAAACCCAGGAGACATGTTAGTGCTGTTTGTTTGAGCTTTTTGGGCGATCTAGCCACAAGAAAATGTCTGTCTGTCTCCTAGATGGGGCCAATTAACCTTATAAAGATGCACTCTCCTTTCACAGTGCCTCATTTGTTTACTTGGGTTCTGCTGGCTGCTGCTTTTTCATTCTGGAAGAGGGGGTCAGATCGGTAAGAGATTCAGCACAGTCCTGGGGTGCAGAGGAAGGGAAAATGGGCTCAGAGAGATGGTGCCTTCAGTAGCAGCACATTAGAGGATGTTAGGGTTTAATAACTGGCTTCCCCATGTGGCTTCACAGCTGGCCCCAGGCTTTGGAGAGTGTCCTTGCACACCCATAAATGTAGCTGCCTTCTTTTGTCCCTGTTTTATGGAGCAGTAAGAGATAGATGGAGCTCTGGGGTGCTCAGTGACTGTGGCCCGTGGAGGAGCCACAATCTGCAGGCTTCTGCCTGCACCTTGGGCAGCACAGGCCCACACAGCCTGGGCGGGCAGGTGGCAGCAGCATGCCCTCTGCTGATGAGCTGCCAGCCATGCAGGTCTGCTGTGCCAGGGTCCCCAGTGCCAGCCATGCAGGGTCCCCAGAGCCAGGCATGCAGGGTCCCCAATGCCAGCCACGTGGGGTCTGCGATGCCAGTGGTGTGGAGTCTGAGATGGCAGCAATGCAGGTCTGTGGTGGCAGTGGTGCAGTGTCTGAGGTGCCAGCAATGCAGGCTGCAAAGTGCCAGTGATGCAGGACCCCAGGCATGAATTCACTGCAGCCAGGTTTCATGGTCTGGCCATGCTGGGTCTCATCCCAGCCATGGGGTCTGAGCACACGTGTCTCCACACTGTCCCCCTGGCACCGTCTGCTTCTGTGCTGCCCAGGAGCAGTCAGGAGCTGAGCTGCACCAGGATGATCCTCCAGTACCCAACAGCAAGATAGCCATTATTTGCCTGTACAGGGAGGGCTGGAGCTGTTGCCCAGCCCTGTGCCCTGCTACCTCACTCAGACATAAAACCCAGGCAAGGGGTATGTGGGCACAGGAGCATGTCCCACACTTGGGCAGCTGAGAGCACAGCAGGGCTGCACCAGTGCTTGGTGGGACTGCGAGGGCTGATGGCAGCACCCAGCAAAGCGAGTCTGCTTTGCTCTTGCTTTGCTTCCTTCTGGCTTGCTCATGTCCTGCCCCACACCGTGTCCGTATGCTGGGAGCAGGACGGAGCCTGCTTTGTGTGTGCAGGATTTGGGGTGTTTGGTAGCCAGGCAGACCTGGGAGCCAAAGTACACGGCTGGAGCAGGGCTGGCGTGGAGCTGAGGTCGGTGCTGACACCAGAGGGTGGTGTGGTCTCACGCATCCCCAGCACCAAACCCTCGGAGCTGCTCAGGCTTCGGGCTGCCATTTGTCCCCGGGACTGGCCATTTGCTATAAAAACCTGTTGGACCTCACAGCACCATGGGCAGGGTGAAAGACTGGGAGTTGCCTCCAGATTCAGTGGGGACAGGCAGCAGCTTGTCCCACCCCAGCCATATCTTCAGTAAACTGGGCTCCAGGCATTGATCACCCGTGGCCTCAACTGTGCCCTTCCCTGTGGCAGGGACACAACTTTTGGGGACCTGAGGGGGCCACTGACAAACACCCCATGCTGCCTCACACCCAGGCTCAGGCTCTGTGCAGCCAGGCAGATGCTGAGAGATGGGGGAAGTTCCCTTCATTGCCCAGGACGTTACAAAACCACAGGAGCTGCATCTTCACTGTAGCTGGTGTCCCCAGAGGCTGTGGCAGGCAGGGGACAGGCAAGGCTGGGAACAGGACAGCCACCACTGGAGACACATCGCCACTCTGTCACATTTGTAGGAAGAGGTCTTGGAGACAACTTATATTTATTTTTTCATAGAGATTTTTAATTTTTATTTTTTTAACAGACTTGATTTAAATTTTTGTTTTCTACAATAATTCAATGTAAAAATCCCAGTACAATATACAACAGTCTGAACATGTGGAATAAGAAATCCAGCTTGAGACATGTAAATTCAGCTAGTTTCTAATACAGGTAGCAAATTCCCTCTGCTCTCCCCCAGATTTACCAGCCAGGAAGGCATGTGGACAGGAATGCTTTACAAATGTCACCCCACCCTATCCAGACACTGGCTGCTGTCCCTGCCTGTATTGCAGCGAGGCGGGTCCCTCAGGTACATCACCTTGGAAAGGGCAGGGTCCCCTCCATGGGATGGCTGGGAGCCTCCAACGTTGCAAGGCAAAGTGCAGCCAAGTGAGGGTGGCTGGCCCTTGTTCGTGAGTGATGTGGGATGCTCTGAATAGACCCTGCACATGGGTCCCTCAGGGCATGGGGCTCCCTCAGGATGGAGAGGAGACCTGTCCTCCCCTTGGCAGCAGTGCCTTGTGCCCTAGTGCAGCCATAATGTCATTGAAAGGGGATGGCCATGTCCCTGCATGGTCTAGCCTGAGGAAAGGAAAACAAAGATGGTGCAAGGGTCCCTGGCTCTAGGGTCTGAGGGATAGCTCACAGGCAGGCTTTCAGGAAGCCACTTTGGCCTGCCCATGGTACTCAAGCAGCCTGGGATGGTTCTGCTTGAACAGCCTGGAGTGGTCCTGCTCAAGCTACATGGGGTGGTTCTGCTTGAGCAACATGGGAAGGTTCTGCTCAAGCTACATTGGATGATCCTGCTCAAGCAGCCTGGAGATGTCCTACTCGAGCAGCATGGGGTGTTACTTCTCAAGCAGTGTGGGATGGTCCTGCTCAAGCAGCACGGGATGGTTCTGATGGAGCAGCATTAGGGTGGTCCTGCTCAAGCAACCTGGAGTGGTTCTGCTTGAGCAGCATGGAATGATCCTGCTGGGGTAGCATGGGGTGGTCCTGCTTGAGCAGCATGGAGTGGTCCTGCTCAAGCAGTGTAGGCTGGTCCTGCTCAAGCAGGCTGATGTGATCCTGCTCAACAAGATGCACAGGGTGGCCTGCTTGAGCAGTGTGGGCTGGTCCTGCTCTGGCAGCATGGGATGGTCCTGCTTGAGCAGCATGGGGTGGTCTTGCTTGAGCACCATGAAGCAGCTGTAAGTGGCAGGGATAGTTCCTCATGTCCTGCAGCATCCCAAGCATAGCATTCAAAGCCATGTCTGGCCTTTTTTGCCCCTCTTGGAAATCTTCCACTGCTCTGAGTTCTCCCAAAGATGTGTGTGCTTGAAGGGATCCCAGAGGCCTCTGGCCAAGCACCATGTTCCAAAATAATTATTGCTAATGCTAAATTAGGACATTGGTGACTTTATCTAGCTGAGTTTTGAAACCTTCCAAAGGCAGAGATCCAACCACTTCCCCCGTGACCGGTCCCAGCTGCACCTGCTCAAGGGAGAAGTGTTTCCTGATGTCCAGCATGAATCTCTCTGCCTGCAAGCTGTGGCCATTACTATGGCACTGTGGCACTACTAAAGTGCCCTGAGTAGTGGCGATGGGGTGGAGGGCTGGTTCTCCATCTAACTTACCCCCACATCCCATCCCAAACAGTCAGGGCCCTTCCTGCTTGCATGAGGGGTGGCTGTGCTAGTGGCGACTTTCCTGGGCTGGTAAGGGATGCAATGCAAGGCAGGGGAAGGAGGAAGCAAAGGAGAAAATAACAGCAGAAGTCAGATGTGCTGGGAGTAAAAGATTGCAGGGATGATGGAGGAGAGGACGAATGGGAGAGGTCAGGCTGGGAGATGTGAGCTCAGGATAGAGTTGGAAGGTGAAAGAGAATGGACAGTGAAAGGGGGAGATGTGAGGTAAGGGAGGATGGCTGGAGGTCAGGAAGGGGTAGAGGGGAAATCTGAGGTAGGTGGGACACTTGGAGGATAAGGACAGATGGGGAGATGGGGAGAGGTGGAGGAGTACGAGGAGAAACAAGGAGACTGTGGGAGGTGAATGACAAGGGATGGTGAGATAGCCAGAGGTCAAGTATGAGGATAGATAGAGCAAGAGGTGAAAGAGCATGAAAAAGGATGGGGAACAATGGGAGGTGGAGGTTCACAGGAACGATAGAGAGACTGAGGTGGAGGAAGAGGTATGAGATGGAGGATGAGGGAGAAGGTATGGGAGATGGTGGAAAGAGGAAGGCAATGAGGTATGGGCAATAGTGGAAAGGGGAAGATGATGAAAAGAGAGGTTGGAGGAAGACTGGGAAGATGGTAGAAAGTGGAGGATGAGGAAGAACAGGCAAATAGGCAGTGTTAGGGCATGGGGAAGGATGGGAGACAGTGGGAGTTGGAGAATGAAGAAGGGCAAAAGGGAGGAGGACAAGGAGAGATGAGATGGCAGGTGGTGGAGAACAAGGTGGGAGAGGGAGATGGAGATGAAGAAGAGGAGGGATGAGGAGACAGTGGGAGGTGGAGGAGGATGACAGGAGAGGTGAAGAGACATTTAGGGGGCAGAGGAAGACAAAGATTGGAGAGCAGTGGAAGAGGATGGATAAGGAGATGGGAAATGGAGAGGCACAAGGGGGACTGGAAATGTGGGGGTGGAGGAGGAGAAGGCAGGATTGGGTGATGTTGACAGCTGGGGGGACAGGGCAATAGTGGGAGGTGAGGGTGGGTTTGGGGATAGGGAAGTGGAAGAGGATGAAGAGGATGAGGAGATAGGAGGAGGTAGAAGAGGGTGAAGAAAGATGGGGAGATGAGAAGTGGAGGTTGAAATGGTTTGGGGTGATGGTGGGAGCTAACGGAGGATAATCAGGGATAAAAAGATGGTAAGATATAGAGGCCAGTGATGGTGGGAGCTGATAAGAGGATGAGAAGGCATGTTGAGATGTTGACATAAGAAGGAATATGAAAGGAAAAGAGAAACTGGAGGCAAAGCAGGATGAGGATGGATGGGACAGGGTGGAGGTAAAGGAAGACATGAGTAGATGGTGGGAGGTGGATGAGGGTAAGGAGGAGTGGGATGTGGTGGATGAAGGAGGAGCAGGTGAGAGGGATGGAATGCCAGTGTGACAGGAAGAAAGGAAGGTGGGATATGAAGGGCAATGGAGGAGCACAGGAAGGAGGAGTGAGAGGTGGTGGGTAATGGAAGAGCATAGAAAGGAGGGATGGGTGATGAAGGAGAAAAATACGGAGGGATAGGATGTAATGTAGGGATGCAGGAGCACAAGAGGGCAGGAGAGGACATGGTGGGTAATGGAGGAGCAAGGCATGGCAGGGAGTGATGGGACACAGTGAATGACAGCACACTCTAGAAGGAGTGTGGAAGGAGGGGTGGGATGTGAAGGGAGTGGAGGAGAACAAGGAGGGATGGGAGGTGGTGACAGTGGAGCACAAGAAGGGATAGGACATGGTGGCTGATGGAGGAGCACAGATAGGAAAGATGGGACCTGGTGGGTGATGGAGGAGGATGGGAGGGAAGTATGGGACACACTGGGTGACAGGAGCATGGGACGGAGGGATGGGATGGGTGGACAACAGAGGAGCAGCAGCAGAAGGGGTGGGACATGAAAGATGGAGGTACACAGGAAAAGGGATGGGATATGGTGGGTGATGGAGCATGGGAAGGAGGAATGAGGTCGGTGGGTGATGGAGGAGCACAGGAAGGAGGGCTGGGTTGGGTTAGGTGGGTGATGAAAGAGCAGAATAGAGGGATGGGACATGGTGGGCAATGAAAACACATGAAGGAAGAAAGGAATGTGATTGAGGATGAAGGATAACAAGAAGGAAGGATGGGACACGGGTTCAAAGAGCAAGGATGAAAGGGATGGGACATGATGACAGCAGGAGCAAAACAAGGAGAGGTGGGTCATACTGGGTGATGGAGGACCTCAGGGAAGGTCAGTTTAATGTAGTGAGTCTGGAGGAGGCTGGGACCTGCAGGTCATAAGGGGCACAAGGGCAAGAAGCCGCGAGCAGTGACGGGAAAGGGGATGTGGGGTCCGTGTGCAGGCTGGGGTGAGCTGCTGAGCAGGAGGGGATGGGATGGGGAGGCATGAGAAACACCAGCATCACAGGGACAAGGCAGAGCCGAGAGGAGCCTGGTGTGAGGTGACAGCCCTGACAGCAAGGCCATGGAGGACCCATGCGAGATGACATGGAGCCCAGTGGAATGGCACAGTCAGGGTCAGCACATGGGGATTGTGTTGGGGGGAGACAGGTGGGTGAGGACAGGGTGGGACACTATGTCTACACTGGGCAGCTGGCAGGACAGCAGGGACAGAGGGTCAGGATCTAGATACATCTCCCCACCCATGGGTGCCCCAGCCACCCCACACTCCCCTCCGCAGCAGCACTGGTTCCCCAGACAGGACAGGCATCACGGTCCCCCCACCGCAGCACGGGAAGGCAGCACCGAGGGCGTGGGTGAGGGGTTGCAGGGCCTTTATTCATCACACAACAAGCAGGTACGGTACAGGGGAGCAGGATGGGGTGGGCAGGGGACCTGTCATCGGGGCAGAAGGTGCCCTTCATGCGACCTTGGCATGGGCTGGTGAGAGGAAGCAGGACAGGGCAGGGGCAAGTGTGGCTTCGCCCCGGACCAGGCACTGGCGTGGGGGGAGGACAGGGACAGAGGCTGTGCAGGGGCTGGGGCTGGATCAGCCACCTCCACACCTCAGGCAGGTTTTCCCTGTTGCCTTTGCAAATCCCTTGCTGGCCTTGGCTCAGCCCCAGCCCCGCAGGAAATGCCCAGCACCACTATTTACAGAGTAAGACAGAAATGACCAATATTACAAATAATTAAAAGGCAGTTGTAAAAATGAGAAACCACATTCCAAAAGTAGAGAGTCTTTTAAAAAAAAAAACCAAACAAAACCGAAACCCCCATTATCAATGAAAATGCTAAAAACCACCCCAAAAGGATCTATGTACAGCAGGAGATTGCCCGTGGCAGCACTGCGCCTGCTGGGGTGCAGGGACCCGACTTCTCCGTGGCAGGCAGGATGCTGCCAGGCCCCAGCTGCTGGTGAGGGTGGGCAGCGCCTGCCCCGCGCGTCCCACACCCGGGTGACGAGGGTCCCCGTGGGGCCGGACAGGCGCCGCAGGAGCAAAAGGCCATCGGTGCTGGGCCTGCTGGGCCCTGGCTGATGCTGGTGTGTCCGGAGACACAGGCAGTGAGTGGCCGTCGCGGAGATGCTGACGGAGGCTGCGACGTGGCAGTGATGCAGCCTGCTGCGGGCAGCGTGCGGCTGGACGGGAGGGGGCAGCAGCTTCGGCAGCAGGAGCATTTTTTAACCGAAGCTGCAAGATGACAGCAATGCGCAGAGCCCCTGGAGCAGTGTACACAGCCCCAGAGCAACGCACAGAGCCCCTGGAGCACTGTATGTGGGACTCAGAGCAATGCAGAGGTCCTGGAACAGTGTACAGACCCCACAGCAGTGTACAGAGCCCCAGAGCAAGGTACACAGCCCCTGAGCAATGCACAGAGCCCCGGGAAGTGTGGGCACCTGCAGGCAGCTCCATCTGGGTGATTCCCTGCCTGGCCCCTGGCAGGCAGCTCGAAAATAGGTCAGGCAGCCACCTCAGAAATTGCTGTTCTCTCCTGGGGCTGCACAGAGGCACCAACGCTGCTCTGCGTGGGGCTGGGATGCAGCCCCCCAGCCCCAGGAGCTCTGCATTGCCGTGGGGGCTGTGACTGCTGCTCCCCTCCCTCCCCAGATAAGGCTTTTTCTGATGGTGACCAAGGGACATGTGGCACAGACCGCACACGGGCCACGCTGCAGTCTCCCAACCCACAATCTCTTAATCCAATTGGTGCATCTCCAATGTAGCTCATTTCAGTATTTTTAAAATGCACTTGGTTTTACATTGCAGGCTGTCCGGAGTTGGTCAGAGCCAAAAGTGGAAGGAAAAAAAGGAAAGAAGAAAAAAAAAAAAGAGAGAAATATGTATATTCAGCACTTGGATGAGCAAATAACTACAAGTGGCCCCAGGCAGGGAGCTGGGTGCAATGCAGGGGGGCACCACAGCCGTGGCCCCTCGGGATGGTGGCGGGAGGTACACAGACATGTCACACAGGTACACGCTGCCTCTCCCCACGCTGCGCACCCAGTGACCCCGGCTCTGCAGCTGGAGAGGCCAGGGGCACTGCCCGGACCCTCCCCAGCAGCGCAGGACCTCGGCAGCCCCCTTCTGTCCCGAGCAGAAGGGTGCCCAGGGAGGGTCCCCACAGCCAGCCCAGCCTGGGTGACCGCATGGACCCTCCCCTCCTCCCTCCCGGCTGGGGAAGCACAAGCGGCCCCGTGGCTGATGCAACCGCGCTGCAATCGGGGCTGGCAGGGATGTGCCGGAGCTCGGGCAGGGCGGGCAGCGCTGGCAGCAGCCAACACCCTCCACCCGCGGGGGCCAACACGGCATTGCTCCCCCATCCATCGCACCCACACGGCATCCCTGCCACGCTTCGCCTCAGCCCTGCCCTATCTACACAACCAGCCTCCCCCGGCTGTTCTTCCCTTCTTGGGGCCCCAGCGAGCCCTCGGCATGGCGGGGCCTCAGCTGACATTCCCGGGGCAGTGGGCACCGGTGAGGACCCCCCAGCACCGGCAGCAGCTCCAAGGGAGCGGGTCTCTGTGCAGGTGAAGCAGCCACCCTGGCGGGCATCCCCGCGTACCCTGGGGCTACCGGCAGCCTCCACCTCGGGCTCCACATCTGCTTCGTAAGCGTCCCCAGGGGCGAGGGGACGATTAGGAGACAGATGCGCCTGCGCCGCCTCCAAGAGGGGCCCCGCGGGGCGTCAGCGCGGGCGCTCTTCCGGCAGGAGAGTGGAAAGCAGGCACGCTGCGTCCCCCTGCCCCCCATCCTCACTCACTCGAGCCCCCCGGCTTCTCCTCCGCCCTGGGGGGGTCCGCGGGGTGCAGTTTGCACTTGGAGGGGGAATGGCGGACAGCGGAGCGGGATGGCCGGGCGAAGCAGGAGGTGAGGGACTGGGAGCTGCAGTCACAGGCCGTGTCCTGCAAAGATAGATAGGGCACAGGGGGGTTAGAGGGGTTGGCCACTCCATCCCCTGCCATGGCAGGACACCCCAGGGGACACCCTGCCTCGTTACCTCGCTGGCTATGGCCGAGATGAGGTCGGGGTCCCGCAGGGTTGTGTCTTTATTCCCCTGGCCGGGGGACGAGGGCTTGGGGTCCTCGCAGCTGCTCTGCTTGAGGACTTTCTTGTTCAAGACACGGGAGATGTTTTCGGCCGGGTGGTGGGTGGCTGGGCTGGGGTGCTCGGCTCTCTTGGTGCCCTCCTCCCCGGTTACCACCTCTTTCTTCTCCAGGGGGGCGGTGGGGCTCTGTGCCCGCCCACAGACATTCCTGAAGAACTCCTGCACAAGGCCATACTTGGGTGCTTCGGGCTTAGCCCGGCTGCTCTCAGGGCAGCCCGGCTTCCAGATGGACTCAGTGCTGCCGGTGTGCTCCACCACGCTGAACAGGCTGGACAAGCCATCGTTGATATTGCTGAGAACCGGGCTGTCACGTGTGGTGGTGGAGCGGGCCCAGGCAGAGCCATTCTGCTTGCTCTGGTGCAGGTTCCAGAGGCTCCTGTCCTTGGAGGCATCCAGCTTGGAGGAAGATCTCCTCTGGAGCTTTGGAGAGCCATATTTTGGGGAACAGCATGGCCGCTCGATCCTGGAGTGGACCTTATCCAGGGAGGAGGAGATCTGCTTGCTGCGCACGGACACGAGGGAGGAGCTGCGTGGGGACCAGCTCTTGCTGTGCACGCCGCTGCTGCGCGGCAGGTCGGTCTGCAGGCCAACGCTCACCGTCTGGATGGTCTGTGTCCCCACATGGGCCAACCCCACCGTCTGGCTGGACGTGCTTTTCACCTTCCTCTCCAGCGAGCTGGAGCGGATGGCCTGCCGCACGCAGTTGGTGATCTCCTTCATGTCGTCGCTCATGTTGCCGGAGATCTCCAGGTCGTGCAGCGATGGGGGGAAGCGGGGCACTGGTGGCACCGTGCTCTCCACCGCGCCACCGTCCAGCAGCTCCCGCTGCTGCTTGGAGAAGTTGCACAGCCACTGGCTGTAGGTGCTCTCAGCACTGGCTGACTCCTCCGGCTCCTTCGGCTTGGCCATGGTGAACAAGAAACCTGGTTCGATCATGATCTTCCCCTCCTTGTTGTGCACCAGAGGCGCCTCCAGCCGCCGCACCACTGGCGGGCTGTAGTAGATGCGGATCCCCGTCTTGTCGGGCGCTGTGTAGCTCCTCTGCATTTGCTTCTGGGCTGGGTCATGCCCAGAGAGGCTGCTTGCCCGCGAGTAGTCCCAGGAGGAGATGCCCAGCTTCTCCTTGGCCAGGCTGTCGGGGTCAGGTTGCTCAATATTCACATATGTACAGTTTGAGGGAGGAATGCCAGTGCTGTCCCGGATCCCATTGGGCAGCAGCTGGGTGGCTGAGGATGCCTTTTTGCCTCGGGAATGGTCACCCAGCCCCGGTGCAGTCTTTCCAGGGAGGTAGGGAGAACAGTCGAGCAAGCTTTCAAACTCTGACATGGAGGAAACGGACTTGGTCCTGTGAGAAAAGAGGATGGGGCTCACAAGGGGACAGGGCAACGGGTTGGGGGGCAGCTGGAAGCACCTCGCTCCCACTGCAATGAGACCCTCCTGGGCACCCAGTCCTGCTCCTCATGGGAACCCTTCGCCTCCAGGATAACTCTGGACCATGGCTGCATCTCCCTTCAGCTGCCGGGGCTGCCAAGCCCAGGGGCAGCCCTGCACAGCCTCCCCTGTACCTTGGGGACCATGCAGGCACCAGCATACTCACCTTTTGAGGTTGGTTCCCTTGGCTTCTGCTTCAGAGATTGTCTCTTTGTCTGTGATTTTTTCATTGAGAGCCTAGGAGGACACAGAAGAAGGCACTGATGTCAGCAAGCACAGGATCAAAGTACACCAATGGGCTGGAGCAGGGGCTGCACCCTGCTCCTCTCCAGCACCACCACCTTCCCCCATGCACCCATTCCCAAGGCTACATGGGGCTCACATCTATTTTAAATCAGCTTTTTATAACCCTACCAAAGCCCTTGGGGTTCAGCCACATGCTCCACTGTCATTCTCCCCAATCCCTGGTGCATCCCCTTGCAGCCTCATTTGCTGTTCAAGGGGCTGTTACTTGGGGTTCACATGACCTCCCATCTAACCCTTAGCATAGACATGAGCCCAGCAGCCCGAGAGCCCTCTGCCTTCTCTTGCCCACCTCTTTCCAGTTGCTGCCGTGCTTCTCCACTTCAGAATGCTTCAATGCCCATGGGTTGGCTCCTTTCTGCAACTGGAGAACATGCTGGTCATTCAACATGTGCAATACGAGCCCCTCTGGGCAAGCAAAAGTGTTTGCCACTTGCCCCCGGTGCAGTCCCTGAGAGCATTTTCACACTCTTGGGGCACATATGGGAGGCAAGTGGCAGATGCTGGAGGGCACATTCACAATGGGGGAACACCATACCTGGTTGATTTTGTTCTGCAGGTCCTTCGCTTGCTGCTCTGCCTGCTGCTGCTCCTCCTTGAAGCGGGCCAGCAGCTCCACTTTCTCCTGGTTCCAGTTTTTCTCGCTGATCTGCAGCTGCTTGGTGAGGTCCATGACGGCGCTGTAGGACTCGGCTAGGAGATGCTGGTGCTCCTCACGCTCCCTCTTCAACGCCACCTTCCAGTCCGGCAGCACGCGCTCCGTGATCCCTTTGCCTGCCTTTGACTCCAGCTGCGGGGACACATTGGTGGCTGTGGGGGACCCACGGCTCCAGTGTGGTGCTGGACATATATGCCCAGCGAAGGGACAAGGCTGTGGGCATCCTGGTTCCCAGTGCAGGGCCCACGCTGCCTGGGTTGGGCTATAAGCATGTCCCCAAGGCCACGTTGCACAGCACAGCTCGACCGTGGGCGCAGCCCAGCCACAGCCAGCCCTGGCCTGCAGCCACGTCATGCCAGACGGCCCGGCAGACGGTCACCCAGTGGGACACAGGCTGAATGTCCTGCCTGCTCGGCTGTGCTCTGCCTGCAATCCTGCCTGCTGGACCCGGCTCCTGGAGAGGTGCAACATCACTCGCAGGGCTGGCAGAGTGGACCCTGAGGATGCTGCTGCCGCTGGCAGCCAGGAAGGCACCTGAAACTGGGGTGCTGCCCTGGTGGCAGCTCTGCTCTCTTCTGGAGAAGAGAGGAGGAAATCGGGAACCACTGCTGAGCTCTGCCCGGAGAAATCCCACTTGCTGGCAGCTGCTCTGGGGAGTGGAGCTGATGGATGGCCACGGGCTGCTGCCAGCACAGTGAGGGAGCAGAAAAACCACATCACTGTGCAGGCAGGACCGGGGGACTGATGGAACTGCTTTCACAGGCAGGAGCCTCCCTCAGTGCTGAGGCTGCCCTCCTTCCACCTCCTGCCCTTGCCGCAGCAGTATATCCCTCCTGCAGCATCCGCAGGTGTGCAGAGCCCTGACCCGCGCCGTGACCCAGGGGAGGAGAGGAGGGCTCTGATGCCGCTCCCAGATGCCTGTCCTGAGCCCCGGTACCATCCTGCCCATCCTAGACAAACCCAGCAGAGGAATAAAGAGCATCCTCTGCTGCTCCACAGTCAGACTTTCGTGCCAGCCCGTTGCTATGGAAACTCGCCTGCCGGAGCGGCTGCTAATTGAGATTCCCACAGTGCCACCCTGCCTCCCAGCCCTGCCCAACAGCCAGCGCTTGGCACACAGCGCAGGCAGCCCCCCAGCCCCACATCCCCACCAGGCAAAGGGGAGCTCCGCCAGCCTGCAGGGTGCCCGGGGCTCCCACCTGGGCGATGTGGCACTTGAGCTCGGCACGCTCCATCTCCCAGGCAGCCTTAGCCTTGGTGAACTGCTGCTGCAGCTCGCTGGCACCGCGCCGCTCCTCCCGCAGCTCCGTGCACAACTCCTTCAGGGTCACCTTCATGTCCGCCAGTGTCTTGATGCACTCGTTGGGCTGCCAGGGGATTGGGGGTGAGCGGAGGTATCAGGAGTGACCAAAGGGAGCTGGGGCTCCGCGCTGGAGGGGACTCAACGGGGTGGCACCCCATGGGAGCTGCCATCTCTGCATCCCATCGCCACAGGCTGCCCACTCTCGGGGTGAGGGACAGGGGGTACCACCAGGGCAGGGGACCAGCCCTGGGGGGGACATGCCAGCAAGGAGCACCCTCTCCCAGCAATGCACCCCGAGAGAAGCCACCACGCCAAGCCACGCAGCTGCAGAGGGGGCTGATCCTGCCCATTCCCTGCACTTGTGGGGCCCCTGCTCACCGTGTTGGGGGTCCAGGCATCACCAGCACATGTCTTGTTGTCTGCCTGCTGCTGTGGGGCGAGCTCCTCCTCCTCCAGCAGCAGGTACAGCTCCTTCATGCTATTCACCTGCAGGAGACACCAAAGCTGGGGAAATGAGGGGACCCACAGCCCACGGCCAGGGATGGGGGACACCCGAGCAGTCCCAAGTGGAACATGTAGGCACAAGGAACAGCCCTGGGGATGCCTGACAGCGTGGTCCCCCCTCCACTGCAGCAGAGGAGGGAGCCCCTCAGCCCACAGTACCTCCAAAAAGTCCTCGCCCTCACTGTGCACCATCTTGCCCTGGCGCCAGAGCTTGAGGAACCACTTGAGCTTCATGAAGAGCAGGAGGAAGCTCTGCCTAAACTGCTGTGACTCCTGCACCAGCAGGTTCTTCTCCTGGCTCCAGAACTTCTGCTCCAGCCGCCTCTGCAGGTTCAGGCTCTGCAGCTCGAACTCCCGCCGCAGCAGTGCTTTCTGGTGGTCCTCCTTCAGCTGTGGAGAGATGTGTGGGCTCCAAGACAGGGGCTGGCAGCAGTGATGTGGTGCTTCCACGCTAGGGTCTGGGTTGAGCCTGGTGCCAGTTTATTTAACACCCCTGGGGAGCTGCAATGCCCTGGCAGCATGCTGGGGACGCTGGGGCCATCCAGGCATTGCCATGGGTGGAAGCCCTGAGCAGCTGCATGCCCATGTGCAAGGAGGATTGTGCTCAGCCCCTGTGCACCTTGAAGATGGGACATGCTGTGTGTGGTCCCAGGTGACACCCGGGTCCTCAGGAGAGTCACCATCCTGGTGGCACAGCCATGGGCATGGGGACACGTTTGCCAGGGATCGGGGCTGCTGCCTACTCACCTGGCAGATCTTCTGTGAGAAGTTGTCCACCTCGTCCTTCCTCAGCTGCCTCTCCTGTGAGAGCTGCTCCTGCAGTCCCCGCAGGCTCTCGTTGGCCTCCGACAGCACCAGCTGCAGCTCCTTCATCTGCAATGGCCCGGGGAGGGGATGGGGACCGTGGGCTGCGCATGGCTGCGCCTCCCCGTGTCTCTTCCCGAGGGGGCTCTGCAGCTTCCCTTGTCCCTGGCTCTCAGGAGGGAGAGCCCCATCCCCACAGCCCTGTCCCCAACCCCACTGGCCAAGGGGACACGGCTCCCTGCCTGTGTCATACCTCGGTGGCGTAGGAGTCATTCTCCTCAGGCCGGCAGGTTTTGTAGCTCCGGGGATGCGTGGGGTCCATGTCCTTGGTGTGGGGGATACGGTAAGGATCGGTGTCCCTAAAATCAGGCTGCTGCATGCGTGGGCAAGTTAATGAGAACAAACCAAAAGAGCGGGAAGAAAAAAAAGCCAGAAAACAAAACAATGGGTCTCCGAAACAGTAAGGAACTACAAGACAACAAAAAGGATGAGGAGGAGAAGGAGCTTCATCACCATGGCGGGAGACAATGCAGAAACCAAAAGGAAACACAGGATGAGGAGACACGTGGCCTGGATTGTTTGGGGAAAGGGGAAAAAAGAGAGAAAGAGGGAAAAAATGTGCAAACACCAGTTACGGTGCCATGCAGTGACTGGGGGAGACTGGGACCTGGGGCTGGTGGGATCACATGCAGAAAAATAGGACTCTGAACAAGCGAGTGTGCTCCAGAGAGGGGCTTGTGCCCACAGCCCCAACCACCACTGACATCCCTGGTCCCTGGCATGACCTGGGCCCCTGGAGAGGAGGAGGGTGGCAGGGCATGCGCTGCTTTCCACTGCTCCAAAGGTTCTCTCCATTGGATACAGATTTGCCCTGGGGCCTTTGCTCTCCAAATTACCCTGCCTGGGTACCACTGGGGACTGAGGCTTCTCACAACCGGGGTCCCTGCAATTTGGGCTGCTTTCAGGAGGCTGCAGGCTGCTCTTCTGCCACCCAGTTCATCTCCAATAAGAAGGAGTTTCCAAGCTGGGGATGCTTGGCCAAGCTGGGGGAGAGCAGCTGAATTGCTGACCCCTGCTAAGGTGGGATCACACCCAAGGGCCCCTGGCCATGGGCAGGGCAGCCTCGGCACGACCAGCCCATGCTGGGATGCGCCAGGATGCTCACAACCTCCTGCCCTGGGCACACTGTTGGAGCAGAGTCCTACCTTGTCCCCGGTGCCACTGGCATGCAGCAAGGTGTTAGTGTGGGGTTTGCTCTGGAGAGGCAGGAGGGAGGTTACGTGGGGGATTGGGGTTTGCGCTGTTTAAAGCGGGCGGAAACAGGGCAGCAAATAAAGCGGCAGCTGCTGCGGGGGATGTGGGAAGAAGCCCGTACCTGGAAGTCGGAGGCATGCTCCTTTTGCAGCCCTTCTTTGGTGGCGTCATGGCTGCTGGGGCTGGAGAAGGGGAAAGAGTCTGTGTGCTCCTTGAGGCCGCCAGTGAGGTGGTCCACCTTCCTCGCGAAGCAGCCCAGGTCCTGCTGGAGTACGCCCAGCCGCATGAGGAGCACATTCATCAGCTTGGCATCGCTGGGGCTCTCGCCACCACTACCCACCGCCTCACCCAGCAGCCCCCCCACGCACTCGTTGTCCAAGCAAGCCTTCAGCCCAGAGGTGAAGCCATTGGCATCCGAAATCAAGACATCGATCGCTTTGCTGACGAGCGCCGCCTGGTCTCGGATGCCCTGCAAGGTCTCCAGGTCCTTGGGCTTAAGCAGCTTGGCAGGACCATCAGGCACCTTCCCACCACCAGGCACCCTGTCCTGACTGTCGGCTTCGCTGCTGCCCATCCCATCCCTCCAGCCGGTGGTTGGGATGCACTGGGCCGAGTCACCGGCCTCGGCATCAGTCTCCAGCATGGGCCGGGTGGTCTGGCAGGAGGCCAGGTCGCAGCGCTGGAGGTTGGAGAGCAGCACACGGTTCTCATACTGCAGCTTCTTCACCTTGCCACTCAGCTCGCTGATCTGCACCTTGGCCGTGGCCAGCTCTTCCTGCGAGGGCTCGCTGACCACTGAGCAGCTGTCCTCTGACAGCGTCACGTCCAGCTCGTGGTCTGACTTGTACTTGGTAAGCTCATTCAGGAGGAGCTTGTTCTGGTCCTCCAGCTCCAGCAGTGAGCGCCTCAGCAGCTCGGCCTCCTCCTCCACGAACTGCAGGTGCCGACGCAGCTCCGCCACCGTGTCCCCTGCATCCCCGCAGCCCGAGATGCCCGCCAGGAACCGCACGTCCTGCCCGGGCAAGTCTCTGTCCCCCTGGCCCTTCATGTCGTCCATCTCTGCCCGCAGCCCACGGTTTTCCACCTCCAGCTCCACTATCCTCCGGCTGAGGATGTTGGCTTCCTCCTCCACCAGCTTGAGGTGGACCTTCAGCTCGGCCTCGCGGGAATGGGGAGAGTCGGCCAGCTCCTCCACAGAGAGGGAGCTGTCGAGGTCCCCGTACAGGGACCGGTACTTCAGCAGCTCCTCCTTCATGCTGTCGTTCTCCTTGGCCAGTTTGGTCAGCTTCTTGCACATCAGGGCTGACTCCTCCTTGGCAAAATGCAGCTGGCACTTCAGGTCCGCACTGTCCTCCTGGGAACCGAGGGGGCACGGGCGTTAGAAATGTGCTCCCAGCTGCCACGGTGGCTCTGAGCAAGCCCCGGGGACGTGCTACCTACCCACCCATCCCTGTGAGCCCGGGGGAGCTGCATGCCCCGCTCACGAGGGGGAAAAATAATGAGATCCATCCTGAAGGCTTTCAGGGAGAGCCCAGAGACAGGGCAGGATGCCCAGGCAAGGAGACTCATGGCTCTGGCCCCAGGAAGGACATCAAGTGCTGCCGGGTATGCAGGGCCTGAGCCCAGCCCCGCTGCAGCCAATCCACCATGGGCAGGAGAGGGAGGGAAAGCTCTCAGACTCCACAGAGCAAAATAGAAGCCAGCAACAAGGTTTCCTCCTGAAAGCTGGCAAACGCTGAAACAACTAGTGCTGCTGCCTCTGCACCCCCCCCACCCGGGCTCTGCTCCTCCCGCTCAGCCCCAAACGCTCCATCACGGGGTGGAGAAGTGCTGGTTTTGTCTGGAAACCTCCCAAAGTCCCAGCACTTGCCCAGCACCAATCCTTGTTGCCACCACCTTGCCAGAGGACAGAAAACACAGGCAAACCCCCCACATCAGCCTGCTGATCACTTCCCAAGCCCCTGTGCTTCTTGGGGCTGTTTCTCCATGTGTTTTTTTTTAAAATTTAACAGCTAGGATCTCGGCTATTTGCCCAGGCAGACTGTTTCTCTGCTTTCAAAAGCTTTTTGGATGGAGGACCAGGATTTCCTGACGTCCAGCTCACAGTTTCCCGTGCCGTGGGGTCACTCGAGTGCTCCGAGCTCTGACCGCCAGGAGGGGACCTGCCGGGCTGTGACCTTGGCCCCATGACACCCGCTGGAGCCCTGGGTGGGTGCTGGAGGTGGTCGAGCCCTTTGGCTGGGTGGCTACTGGCCCCGGCAGCCCTCTGCCTGGCTGAACTCATCCCCTCTCCTGTTTCCTTGGCTGGTAAAAACCAACTGTCCCCCATTTTGTGTGCTCCTGGCCCCCCAGCCCCCCAGCTGTGCCCATGCTCACAAACCCCAAATCCTGCAGCAGCTATTTACTCTGCAAACTTCACAGGCTGCTCATATAGAGGCCAGGGGTGATGGGGGGAGGTCCCATGAGTTTGGGATGATGTTTTATACCCCAAACACCCTGCTGTGAGCACAGGAACCACCCTGCTGCTCTTCCATGCTCATGCACAGACACAGCCTCACTAAGGCCAGTAAAGCTGTGCCCCCCCTAATTAGTCGCAAAGATTAGGGGAGGGCTGGCGCAGGCCGCTCTCCCCGGCGGGGCAGACATGACCTCAGTTCCTGTTTTTCTAGGGAAAAAAAAAAGCAGCAGCCCGGTGTGTCCCTCTGCCCCTTGGCATTGCTGGAGGGACACACATGTCCCCAAGACCACTTCGAGTGCTCCTGGGGTCTGGGGCAGAGCTCAGGATTGACTCTGTCCCCCCCTGGTCCATTTTCAGTGAGTGCTGATTCTCGCCCACCGCAGCCGGGCAGGAAAGGGGCCCAGGAAGCCACTGATGAGTCATGAGCATCTGTGCCCGCAGGGCCACTGGGCCACAGCTGCTCTGGAGAAGAAGCACCGTGGGCAGAGGGAGGCAGGGGGCCACGTCCAGGGGCATTTGCACTCGAGGAAGCTCAGGGTTTGCTTTCCATCACCGGCTCCTTCCCCGAGCATCGGTTCCACTGCAGAGCTGGGGCCGCATCCAGCCCCACATCTCCAGGCTGAGGGGCCTTGGCTCCGCGGGGGTGTGGGAAGCAGATGGGGGAGTTTTACTGCAGCCCAGTCTGGGGTTTGTTTCCTGCCCCGGAAGGAGGCAGGGGAGGGGCTGTATTTCAGTTTTGGAAGGGGGTGACAAAGCGGTTCCCAGACAGCTCCCTTGGCTTGAGGTGCAGCTGGGTGTAGGTGCAAAGCTATGGCCTGCTCTTTGGGGAAATGGGGGGCAGGACTCTGGGACCATCAGCTGGCCTGAAAGGGCTCTTAAGGATGAAGTTAAAAGTAAATTATAAATAAAAGACCAAAAGGGAAAGTCTTTGAGGGCCTGGGGATCTCCATCGCATGACTGCACAGAGTGGGTTGTGCTAGCAATGACACAGGTCACCCAGAAACCCTCGGGGTGCAGAGGGTCCCCACTGTGAGATGCTCTCAGCAGCATGTGGCAGGAGTGGCTTTACAGGGTCTCTCTCCCTGCCCCAGCTTTGGGGGAGCAGAACTACTTCCCAAAATAAACCTTTCAGGTCTTCCACCTTTGAAAGAGGATTTTTCCAGTATTAATACACTTGCATTCCTGCAACAGCAGCTCTGCCACTCCGAGCCGTGGTAACAGCATTAGCAAGTCACAGCAGCTCAGCCCAACAGCAAGTGACAGCTGAAATCCTGCTGCCGCCGGCAAATCCCCCCTCGCCTGTGCTGCCCCAGCAGCCTGGCATGGGGCAGGGACAGCGCAGCCTCGAGCTGATCCCCACAGGGACCCTCAGCTCCCCAAACCCCACGGGGCTCCCGGGCCACCCTTGAGGACAGCCACTGGCACAGGCAGGAGGGTCCCAGGCTGTAACAGCCACAACACAAGAGAAGAAGCAGCTTTGCAATGTAAAAGCCAAAGTCAATGGAAAGGGTTAAAGCCACCCGCTGGCCACTGATGCTCCATTGATAAATGAGACAAGGGAGGGGTTGAGGACAATGAGGATGGCCCAGCACATAAATCCCTCCCTTATGCAGGGTCTCTGAAAGGCAGAACAGCCCTGCAAGGGAGGGGATAGCACTGCCATGACCAGATTTACTTCTGGGCCAGGCATAGACTCCAGCTGGCACCATGACCTGGGGTGCTGGTGGGTCACCGTGGCATGCCCCAGACACACTGGCGCTGATACCTGCACAGACGGTTTCTTCTCAGTCTTCCCGATGGAGCGAGACCCCCGCTTCTTCAGGGAATTCTGCAGAGAGAAGAGAGAGCTGTGACCCACAGTGATGGCACAGCACCCCTGCATGGACAGACAGACCCAGCGTGGGTGGGCATCGATGCTGACTTCTCCAGCCACTTGTGAACCCTATAAAAACACCAGAACCCCAGTGGGCTGAGGCCCTTTGCTTTCGGGGAGATGGGCTGGCAAGCACTGTATCATGAGGTTTGGCTAGAAATTCCCCCTGCAGGCAAGTGAGCAGTGAGAGAGTAGGATCGAGCAGGAAATGAGCCGTGGAGAGGCTGAGTCACGGTTCTGTCAGGCTGGATGGAGCAGGGAATCCAACCCCCAGGCAAAGGGATGGCTCTCAGAGCATCCCAGTGTGGGAGCAGTAAAATGATGACGTTCCCCATTGCCTCTTCCCCAAGCAAGGGAAACATCCTGGTTTCTCAGCCATGGGGAGAGCTCCTCAGCAGGACGATGCTGGCTGTGCCCTTGGGGTCTCTGGGGACACAAGAGACGACCCCCAGGCTAGCGAGGACAGCTGGGAGACAGGGAGGCCAGACAGAGCCATAAGGGAGACTGGAAGGGGGTAAAAAAGCAGGTACCCAGAGCAGGGCCAGTGTTCTGGGAAGGGGAGCTGGGGGTTTCCTTCAGGAACACCCAGGCAGCCCCCCATGAGCTGATCCATGTGGCCGCCCTGGACCTATTTCCAAGCTGGCGCTGAGGCCCAGCAGCCAAAGAAAGCAGCTGTGAAATGTAAGCTGCGCCTGTGCCAAGGTGCCGGGCTCCAGGCTTTCCTATTAAGGCCACGACCATCGTGGGAGCTGCTGCTGCTGCAGAGCCTCTCCCGGGGGCTGGCTGTGCCACGTCGGCATCTCTCACCCCCACTGCGCTGGGGACCGGGGCTGGCGAAGGGCATCACCTGGCCCCAGGCACAGCACCCTGGGGCCAGACAGCAGCTGTCATCGCTCCACCCTGGGCACAGCCCTTGGGGTGGCCGTGCCTAAGGGGCTCGTCATGGCCAGGCTCGATGTAGCAGGCTTGGCATGGGGTACCCGGACCGGTCCCACTCTTCTCCTCTGCCCCAGGAGATGCCACAGAGGGGTAGAGCCAGAGGGGCAAACGCATGCGCCTTTCTGTTCTGCCCATCCAGACAATTATCCAATTATGGGAGAAACCCTTGGAAGGGAGAAATAATCATCCCTGAGGGGTGAGCCCAGCCCTGCACAGCCTCCGCTCCATGCAGTCGGTTTGGCTGCTAACAAGCTCTGCCATGCTCTGTGCCCTCCAGCGGGAGGGAGGAGGCGGAGGAGGGCTGTTAACTCACTGTTTGTCTAATTAGCGCTCTGCAATCAGAGAGTAACCCCAATGCCCTTGCTAGCCTGGGGACACGCCATCCCCAGGCTCAGGGAGCTGTGCTCCAAGCTGTACCAGGTCTCCTGCCAGCAGGCAGTGTCCCCTCTGGGCTCAGGCAGCTGCAGAGAGGGGCTGTATCCTGCCCCACACTCTTTTGCCAGGGCAAGGCAGCAGCTGGCGCTCAGGTCTCCCTGCGCACTGACCACGCAACCATTTTCTCTGCCTGTTTTTCAAGCGTGAGAGCTCAGCTCCCGCTGCTGCCATTTGTTATTCAGTGCGCACTCGCTGGCTGCAGGGAAACCCATTTCACGCCTGTTAGCGGAGGCTGTGCAGCAGAGGGACAAGACACTCCACCTGGGGTGACGCTGCTCCATGCCACCCCACGAGAAGGTGGCTGCAGAGGGGACGGGTGCAACTGCAGCCGTGTCCTGCTGCTCGCCAGGAGCTGGCCCCAGCGTTAACTGGAGCTGGCTGTGGACACGCCGAGCTGTGTGCTGGCTCCCTGCCCTGCCATGCAGGGGAGCATGGCTGGGGACAGAGACAGACCTCCCTGCGCTGTGTCCCCGTCCTCGGTGGGAGCAGGGCCCAAGCTCTGCCATGGCACATCCCCCCCCTGTGCTGCCCTGACGGCTCAGTCAGTGATGCTTCCCGAGGCTCCCTGGGGACTAGAGGCATCCTGGGCAGTAGGGAAGTGGGTTACAAGTGCTGCGATAGATCACAAACTCATGCTGTCACCAGGATGCCTTTCTTGTCACCGAGGATGACAGTGGTCCTGGCCAGGAGCTAGTCCCAAACCCAGCATGGCCCAGAGCACCCTGGACCTGTGTGTCTGGGTACACACATGGCACACGGCTTCCACAGATGGGATTGTGCTCTGCAGCACCGCCAAGACACAGCCGGGACATCACGGCCACGCAGACCCACAGCTCAGCCCACTTCAAACTAGCAGCATGCACTCAGGATACGGCCAGCACCGAGCACTGTGACAGGGACCCCACACATCCCACAAAGCTTTCGCCAGTGGGAGTTGGGCACGGCCCAGGTGGCTGGGCTGAGCCAGTGGCTGAGAACACATAAAGCAGTTCTAGTGCAGGGGGCATGTCACGTGTGAGGTCCCATAGCCCCCTTGGGATGGGGTAGAGCCACGCTGTGCTCACAGGGTGGGATGAATCACGCCTCGCCAAGGGCAGGCACTGCTCGGGTTTCACAAGCATTTGCAGCATGGTTTGGGTTTCAGCAGTGTGAACAGGGATGGGGGATCCTGTGGTGCAAGGACAGGACACCTGCTACGGGCAAAGCCTTGGGACGCCTCCCGATTCCCCCTCACCTCTCGGAGCTTGTCCATCTCATTCTGCACCACCTGCTTGGCCAGCTCTGTCTCAATGAGCCGCTGGCGCAGGTCCTCGTTCTCCTCCTCCAACCTGATTCTCTTCTTCTCCACTGCCTCCAGCTCATTGTGGAGCCGCACAGAGACGTCCTTGGCCACCTGGGGACACAACGGGGCTGTCATCAGGCTGGGTGCGGTGCATGTGGGCGCAGTGCCTGGGCACCTACCGTCCTCATGCAGAGATCACCGGGCTGTTATAGAGGCCCTTTAGAGCAGACACCATACTGGGTGACACCCTGGCCCCTGTGTGTGTCCCCTCAACGGTTGCAAGACTGCACAGTGTCCCCAGTCCCTGGCCAAACCTTGCCTTCCCCAACTCTAACACAATGCTGCAGGATGCTTGTCACCTCTTCATACATTTTTCCCACACCATGAGGCTGGAAAAGCCCCCCTGAGGCTCGAAAAGCCAGTGAGCAGCACCAGAGCAGGCAGCCTCTCACTGCAGGCAGCAGCTGTGCTGGCTGGGAGAAAGGCGAGATGCTGCATCACATTACAGCAAAAAAGGCAGCTGCCCCCGGGGTGAAGAGTGTCTCTGTCCATCCTAGGCATGGCCTTGGAGCCCCCCTCTCCAGATCCTTGCATGGGAACAGCCCCTGGCATAAAGGGAGCTTAACAGCATGAAGCCTCAGCTCCTGCACCTGCATAAAAGGGAAAAATTGTCCCCAGTCCTCCTGGTCCCCTGCCCAGCCCCAGGGTATCAGTGCTGTGGAGGCAGCAGCAAGCCCCGCTGCAGGGCTGGGGGGCTCAGGCCATGGTGTTGGGCTGTGCTGTCTTTCCCAGGGAAAGGAAGATGCTGGAGGGGGGCATTTTTTGCAGCAGCACCCCAAGCTGTGGCTGCCAGGCAGTTTGGGTAGGGGCCTGGGCTGCTGGCAAGGACAGACAGGGCAAGGTGGGTTCACAGCCCTGCACTTGTGGCACATCTCAGCTCTGGGATCAGCTGTTTTCTGCTCAAAAAACGTTACGTTAACTCCTCGAGCTGTTGCCCATCCCCCCTGAGCCATCCCTGGCTGCCACCGCACCCACTCCTGGCAGCCACCGTGTCAGCAAGAGCCCGTCAGCAAGAGCCCTCAGCAAACACTCACCGGCACCGGTGGCTCCTCGAGGGCCAGCGGCTGGCGGGGGGCCAGGCAATGTCACCCCACAGAAATCCCCTTGTCCCTGCCCCAGCCCGCCTGCCACAATGCCTGGGGCTCTGCAAGGTTTCCCTGAGGGCCGAGAGGAGCGGCTCCCAGGTCCCCAGGGTCCTGGTCCCCATGCTCCCTCTCCCTGCCCACTCGTGTGGCTCCAGCCCATGGCAGTGGCCCCGTCCTGTCCCCATCGGTGCAGGATAAGGGAGCTTGATTCTGGGGCACACGGTCAGGCTGGGATCCAGCCTGCACAGGATGAACCTCACATATAGCACTGTGAGACTCCCATCCTCAGTCAATACTGGCCCACTCCACCCCCAGGATCACCCCAAAACACCTGTGAGCTGAAAGCACTGCTCCCCACTTCTCCCATCACCACCACTAGTGGGGAATCGTGATGCCCCCATTAATGACCCCATAAACAGCACAACTCCACAGAGCTCCCTGCACCCCAACCACCCACCTCACCAGCAACCCTGTCCACCAAAAACCACTTTGGGGGACCTGGGGACTGTCAGGAGGAGATGTCATGCTCCCAGCCTCACCTTGACGTCCTGCTCGAGGCTGTGGATGAGCTCACCATCCACCTGGCCTGTCTGTGCCACGCGCAGGCTGCGGCGCTCGGCCTTGCGCAGCCGGTACTGCAGGATGCGGCAGGTCTTGCTGGCCTGGTCCAGCTGCTGCCGGAGCTCCTGCAGCTGGTAGACGTCCTCCTCCATGTAGACATCCCTCATCTCCAGCATCTCGGCACGCAGCTCCTCAATCTCATCCTGCAGGGAGAGGAGCATTAGAGGGAACAGACCCCCCAGATTGCTTTTCTCTTTTCTCCCCCTGGGACACCTCCTTACCATAGCTCCCCTGCCCTCCTCCATCCCATGAGCCATTTTCACAGACTTCAAACCCCCTGGGTCAAGCCCCATCCTTGCAGGAAAAGGGCTCAGAGTCAGCTGGGCACCATCACCCACTGCTGAGCCAGCCGCCTGGGGAGGGGGGGACAGCCAACATGGGCGCCTATAAATATTTGCGGTAAAAGAAAGAGGAAGGTGGGGGAGGGAGTGGAGCTGCAGGAGCAGCACAGGCAGCAGCCGCGGCGAGAAAAATGTAGGTCGTCTTTGGAAAAGATGTGTCAGGGAGGCAGGCGAGGGAAGGAGGAGATGGCAGGCAAAGACAGGGAAGGCAACGCAGGGACATGAGCAAGATGCCACCAGTGCTGGGGATCAGGGGCTGCCCCTTGTTTTGCCACCAAGCAGCAATTGTTGAGCTGGGTCCCCCCTTCTACCCCCTCCTGGTCTTATCAGCTCTCAGGGTGACAAATGTCCCTGCTCAGCAGAGCCTCTGTCGTGGGGCTGAATCGTCACTGTCACAGCAGGGCCAGGGGTGACATCCTGCTGGCACCAGCGGCAACACAAAGCCTCCTCCACAACTGCTGTGGGATCCCCTGCAACAGCCACAGCCCCAGTGCCACCTCTCCATCCAGCAGAGAGCTATGGCACCGGTGATGCTCAGAGACCGTCCCCTCTAGTCCCTGGGGACCCACACAGGCGGCGCTGCCCAAATCTCTTTTCACATCCCCACAAGTATAATCTCAACTCAAATCTTCCAAGCAAATGCTCCAGCCGTTGCACCGGCTGTTCTCCTCAACAAGACCTGGTGGACCTGGCACGCTCCTGGGAGGGGATCAAGCAGCTGTTTTCCTGCCAAAACGCCCCCCCCCCCTTCCATCGCTGCAACTGCCACTTGCGAGGTGAGGGGCTCATGCTGCTGCCTTGCACGGCGGCACAGCCCAGGGAGGGACGAGATGAGGACCAGGCACAGGCAATGGGGAGGCACATCCCCCATTCACTCCAAGCAGAAGGGGACAGGATCCCTCTGCCCCCGACACCACCCGTCACAGTGACCCACAGCCTGGGACAGCAGCACCGTGCTGGCTCTGCCAGGCGCTGGCACACTCACCGCCACACTCGCCCGGCCCGGACAAAGCCCCAGCTGCAAGAATTCCCCCGAAAGGCGAAGCTGAGCCCGGGGAGGGGGGGCGGCAGCTGTGGGGACAAGTCACAGTCGCTCACTGTTGGCTTTAAACACTACATGACAAATAAGGAACGTCAATTAGACAATCCCGGATTATCTCCCAGCCCAGGCTGCTGGAGGCTGGTGGCACCACAGCCACCAGTGTCCTGCTGCCCTTCGCTGCTCTGCTTCATGCTGGGGGGTCCTGAGCACAAGAGCTGGGCAGAAACAGCCCCGAGGCACAGAGATGGGCAGCGGGGTGTCACAGGGACACCTGGCTGAGCTGCTCCAGGGACAGCCAGAGACTGTCCCGTGAAGAGGCATCACTGCAGGCACATTTCAGAAACACCCCCCAACACCTCAGTTATGAAACCCCCAGGGATGAACCGCACGTGCTGCTGGCCAGCCCCGGCATCATCTGTGATGCACCATGGGGTGATGAACCTGATGGAAACCCACCGCCAGCACTGCCCACCCCACACGGCAGTGCCACAGCCATGGGGACACCAGCAAAACTCCTGCAAGCCAAACCAGCCCGGGGAGCTGGTTTATGGGATCTAGTCCTTGGGAGCTTTCATGGGAAAAAATGCATTATGCATTGCAGGTGAGCAGGCACTCTGCAAAGGGGTGGTGGAAAACAACTTTTCACCACCAAATTCATATGAATCGTGGCTTGAATAGAATTACAAAGAAATAAAGGGATGCCTGCATCCTGCTCCAGCGCTCACCACACCAGCTCCCGTTTGCCATGTGGCAGCAAGCAGCCAGGCAGGGCAGGGAGCCGGGACCTTGGAGAAAACCCAACCAAACCTTACATTTGCTGGAAGGAAGCCTGGGCTTGCCATGCTAAGAGCTCCTGCTTGTTTATACCTTGGGTTGTAGCAACCCTTAGTTTAAGGGGAGGCCATGTCCAGCACGAGCTGCTGCCTGGGCAAGGCCTGGTGGCACTGCCCTGAGCTGCTCCTTCGCAGGGTGCTCCCCCGGGGAGCAGGGCTGGGGGAGGGTTGCAGCAGGGCTGGCACTGGGGAGGGGCCAAGAAAGTGGTGCCTCCCTTCGCTCCAGTAGCAGGAATCCACCCGCACCCTGTAAGGCCAATAAACCCTTTGAGTGGCCAAAGCCTGGAAGCTCTTGTCTCTCTGAGCTTGCCCCTCGGAGGCAAGCCGTGCCGCTAAGACATAATAACTGGATTAGGATCAGAGAGCAAAAAAAATGCCAGCAAACTGGAAGAGAGCTTAGGGCGGCAAACCTGACTGCCTCTGTGGCCAGACTGCGGGCAGAAGAGCCCCGCGGTGCCTGGAGGCAGCACACAGGGTGCATGGAGGCCCCCTGAGCACTTCGGGGGCCCGTGATGGCCACTGAACCTCACCCTTCGCATCTGCACCTTTTCTGGAGTTGATGCCCATCTTTGCAAATTCAAAGCAAAAAAGATCCAGTTAGATAAAGGGGAGAGCAGAGCCAGGAGCGGAGAGAAACATCCTAGAAACTTCCCAAATTCGGGGCTGGTGTTGTGAGCACGAAGCACCATAAGCAACCCTAAATAACAGGTGAAAAAGAGATAAGGTGGGCAACACTGAGGATGAGATAAATGACTTCCTTCCACCATGACCATACCCAAGGGCTGCTCTCCACCTCCATCCTCTGGGATTATCTGTTCATCTGCTGCTGCATCCCTGCTCACCCCATTTCTGTAACAGCAAAGTTTTCATGGGTTTTTATGCCAGAACTCACTTCTCTTGGAAAAGACACTGGGGATCTGCAGTGCACGGAGACTTTGCAATGCATAAGGGACAACAACGTGCACAAGCAAATACCCCACTTATCTTTGGAGGAGCCAGGCTACGCCTGATGGAGAAACCTGAGAGACAACATACACCTTCAAGCTTCACCGAGCAAACCTCAGAGACATTGTCTCTCCCTGGGGAGATTATTAAAAGAAACTAAGAAGCAGTAAGGTGGGATGCAAACTGCCTGGTTCCAGCTTAGAAAAAAAACCCATTCATTTTCTGAGCAGGAGAAGGTAACAGCTACAGCGGTGTCCATACATCTGCTTGCAGGACATCAGCTCCCCCAGGAAGGGCAAGACCTGGAAGGGGCTGAGTTTTAGAGTGATGGCTCTGAATGATGGCATGGCAGGAGGGGGACCAGTGGGGATGGCAGAGCACACCTCAAAATGCAGATGAAATCCCTCACAGGTTGTAGCAGCAGAGTTAAACCCTTGGACCTCCTGCCCAAGGGGAGTTACATACTGCTTTAAGCACCTCCAAGAATGCAGCAAGCTCAGACCAGACCAGGGGACTCGCGCTGTGCAGTGCTGGCAGCTCCTCAGCAGGATCCACTATCTTTTAGAAGCAGAAAGCACCAATGGATACAAAACAGGATCATGCAAATAATGACATGGCTGGCTGTTGTGCTGCTGACAGCACATACACCCTCAGCTTTGGCAGCCCCAGGCTCTGGGGCGCAGCCAAGCAGCAGCCGCCTGCCCGCGGGGGACAGGCAGCTCTCCAGGGCACACAGCCCTGCCTGCATTCACAGCCTCCATCCGCACCCCCAAACCTCAGCACAAGATGCTTAGGAGGAGAAAGGGTGGAAGCTGCCTGTAGGTTTTGCATCGATGCCTTTGTGCGGAGCTCAGGGCCGCGCTGGCAGCGGGTGTGCCTGCGGGAGAGCCTGCAATCCCCCGTGCAAAACCAGGGATTACCATCCAGGAGCAACAAGCACCGCTTCCTCTGAGATTACAGGACAAAAGCAGCAGCTTTCAATTAACTCTGAGCCCCCGCCAGACAGAAGAGGGAATTATGCTAGAATCTGCTAGGGAAAAAATAAAATCAGAGGGGATTTCTAAAAGAAATTGCCCCAGGTGCCTAGGCATGTTCCCTGCCAGCAAGGGGATCCCAGCAAATGCAGCTCACCCTGAGCCCAGGCTGGGGTGCAATGGGTCGAAGGATGGGTAAGGCACACCTGTGTGCCACACACAGGGGCTTCCTTGGATGCGTTAACAGCAGCTCTAGCCCAGCTCTGACAGTAAACATCAGCCATCCTTCCCTCCATGTCATGCTGGAGCTCGGTGCAGCAGCCTGCGCGCTGAACGCTGCCCCGGGCCAAGCACACCAGCTCCTGCTTGGCAGAGAGCACGGCACGTCAGCGAAGGAAAAATCAACATTTCTCAGCTTTACACCTGCCCCCATAAATTAACAGGCAAACAGCTGGGGGATCTCTGCAGCCCAACCCATGTCGTGCAGCAATCCCAAAAGGCAAGAGACTGCAAAGGCCCAGGGTGGCTGCTGGTGGGGTGACACACGGCAGAGCCCTGTGCCCCGGCTCTGCCTGCGGTTACCGGACCCCCAGGCACGGTCCCTGCCCGGGGCTGGGCAGGATCTGAGCAGCAGCAGAGCTGGTACCCAGTGCCAACCAGGATGCCCCAACGCAACCTCCAGGTCCCCTACGCAGCCCCCAGTGCCCCTGCAGGATGCTCTCAGAGAGCCCTCACTGGTGGCATGCACCAGTCCCCAGCTGCCTTGGAGGAAACAAGGCACCCATCCACCCTATGTGTTTCTGCACAGAGCTGGAAAACATGCACAAACCCCGAGGGACGCAGGGCGACACGGGGCAAGCAGCAGGAGGGCACAGGCAGGACTGCACTGCCAGCGTTACGTGGCTTCCGCCTAAGCCCCTTCCCATGGAGAGGAGAGGGTTTGCAGGCATCCCCTCTCCTCGCTCCAAACCCTCTCCCGTGCCCACTCTTTGTCTGCCTTTCCCTCTACAGCTGCTGCCGTATCGCATCTCACATCTTCCAGCCCGCTGAGCAGGGCCAGGAGCTGCTCTCCATCGCACGGCTCAGCAACAGCGAGACGGGGTGAGGACACCCGAGATGCCTCCTCCCTTGCTGGGTTGCCAACCCGCAGGCGAGAAACAACCCTTTTTGGGGAAACGCTTGAAATAGCCCATAAATGGGGGGTCACAGCAGGTGCACACACCCAAGAGCAGGGACAAGAGGAGACACCAGCCTACCCGGTACACCCAGAGCAGGAGGAAGGCAGAGCCTTGCACAAATCTGCGTTGCAAAGAGAAATGGGTGAAGCGTACTTAAATATGTACATTTTATTATGGCAGCTGAGGAAAGATGCAACGTGAGTTGGCACTGCTACAGAGGGCTGCGATGTGCTCTGCTGGGAAGCTCCAAATTCCAGCGTGCATCACACGGGTGTAGTAGCACCACGCACGTCTGGCCCATGCCAAAACGCTGCCAGAACCCTCCCACCCACAAAACCCCTCGTTTCTCTTTAAAAACACACCAGGTTTTAGCTGGCTCTGATGAATAAATAAAAAACCCCACATTCATTTGCAGCAATTTGGGTGAGTCCTAGGAAATAAGTCACCTCTGATAAGTCTGATTCATCCATACGCAAGGGAGGGGAGTTGCCGAGGCCAGGGGCCACCTCCACAGGGTCCCTGCATGCTGCTCTCTGACCTGGGCTGCATGGCAGGGTGGGTGATGCTGACCACTTAGGTTAGGGCTTTATTTTTGTTGTAAGGCCTCAAATCCCCAAATTTTTAGCGGAGGTGACACAAGCCAACACACTGCTGCAGCCCAGCACAGCCTTCCACTCCCTGCTGGAGAAACAGGGCAAATCTTCCATCTTTTTTTGGAGCACAAGGGATGTGTGTGTCTGGCTGTGGCTTCTGCCCAGCTGGATCCAGGGTACCACTCTCGAGCCTCCTGCTCAAGTGTTGGGAGAACCTGCTCAAGTGTCAGGAGAAGCAAGCTGCAACACCAAAACATGGCTATAAGCAGGATGCACGTGCCAGGGAGGTGTGAGCAGAGGGACTCGTGCACTGCCATGAATGCACATAGAGGACGTTGTGGCGATGAAGGGAGGATGCCACCAGCATCCCCACAGCGCTTCTTGGTGCATACCTCTGGCAGCTCTCCACTCTCCCTGCTGCTCCTGGTCAGAGGATTTCGGTTGCCACCCCTCATGGCAGGTAAAATACTCACACCCCACACGCCTGCAGCTTCTCGGGAAGATCACGTGGAAATGGAGGAACCAATTGCTCAGTCTGCAGGAACAGCAGCGTTTGCACACGTGTTCTTGGAAACTAGAGGGGCCTCATCTGTATTTTTCCAGCTCTCAGTAAATCAAAGCCCTTAAGCTCTTGCTGCTAATTCTGGCAGGAGTTTGGGACACCAGCTGTGAACCAGGGCTTTGCTAATGGACAAAGGGCCTGATCGAGCATCTTTGAGCGCATCACCCAACACCTAGCTCCCACCTCCTAGCTATGAACCCGACGTATTTACAAACTTTGGCACCAGTGGTTGAGAGCTGGCCCAATTTCCAACCTGTGACATCCGAAGAGCAGCCGGCGAGACGCCGTACCTACCCCTGAGCCCCCCAGCAGGTGACTGCACAAGCATCTCATCCACAGCTCCACCCTGAAGAAGAACAGAGGGTGCAAAACGCCTGCAGTCCACTGGGCCATGGCACCTGGTGGGTGTCTGTGCCAAGGTGCATCAGGTTGATGTGTAATGGGAGGCAGAACGCTCTGTGCCCCTGTCCCCATGCAGCACATCTGCCCTGACTTCACCATGCACCCTGAACCTGGCAGCCACGCTGCACGCCCGGAAAAAGGCCCTGGGGAGCACAGGAAGCGGTGGAAAGATGGAAGGTGGAAAATCTCCCCTGGGTTTGGCAGTGTCAGCAGGCACAGAGGGCAGTGGTGAGCTCCCCATCCTGTGCCAGGCCGAGCTGTGCCCAACTGTGTGAGGTCAGGTCGTACCATATTGTGTCCCAGGATGCCAAACCAGGCTGAGCCAAACTGTGCCATGCTTAACCATGCCAAGCTGGGCTGAGCACAGCTGTGCCACGCTGAGCTGTGCCTTGCCTACCCATGCCAAGCTGGGGCCATGTTAGGCTTGGCCATGCTGCACCCGTCTATGCCATGCCAGGGCTGGCCATGCTCAGCTGGGTCATGCCAGGCTAAGCTGGCCCACACTGCACCAATGCGCGCCCTGTGCCAAAGCATGCCACGTTATGCTGAGCCAAGCAGTGCCCAGCCATACCACACCATGCTGGACCATGCCCAGCTGGGCCTTGCTGTGCTGAGACAGGCCAGGTCTTGGGCCCAGCCAGGACATGCTGTGCCAAGCTGAGCTTTGCTCTATGTCCAGTTGGGCCATGCCAGGCTTAGGCAAGCCGTGCCATACATCCAGCCGTGGCACACTGTGCTGAGCTTAGCCAAGCCCAGTCATAGCATGCCAATCCATCCCCAGCTGGGCCATGCTACACTGAGCTGAGCCCAGCTAAACCGTACCAGGCCATGTTCAGTGATGCTGTGCTGGGCTGAGCCATGCCAATCCCTGCACACATCCATGCCATGCTGTGCTGCCCAGCTGAGCCAGGCCAGGCTACGCTCAGTGATATCATGGTAGGCTGAGCCGAGTTGAGCTGTGCCCTACGCACAGCCATGCACAGGGATGCTGCGCTGTGCCACGCTGTACCTGGGGGTGCTGAGCTGTGCTATTGCCCAGGGATGCTGTGCCATACTGAGCCACTCCATGCCCAGGGATGCCGCACCGTGCCACGCCATGCCCTGGGATGCTGCGTTGTGTGCAGGGATGCTAATCCCTACTGACCCAGGGCCTGGGATGCCACACTGTGTCATGTTATTGCCCAGGGACGTTGTGTCACGCTGAGCCATGCCCAGGGATGCCACACCGTGACAACCCTTGTCCTGGAATGCTGCATTGTGCCCAGGGATGCTAAGCCATGCTGACCCTTGTCCTGGGATGCCACGCCGTGCCATGCTACAGCCAGGGATGCTGTGCCGTGCCGAGCCATGCCATGCCATGCCAGGGACGGTGAACGACTCTACGGCCAGGGATGCTGAGCCTTGCCAACACATGTGCTGGGTGCCACGCTGTGCCCCGCTACTGCCCCGGGATGCGGTGCCACGCCGAGCCGTGCCCGGGGATGCCACGCCGCTGTGCCCACCTTGAGATAGTCGTTCTCAGAGCGCAGGTCCTCCAGCTCACGGAGCAGCCCGTCGGTGCTGGCGTCCAGCAGCTCCTCGGTGAGGTCGGAGAAGGCGAGCGAGGTGCTGAGCTGCAGGCGGCTGCTGGCCATGGAGGCGGCCGAGGGCT